AGAGGCGACGCACGCACGCACGCACGCACGGAGGTATGGAGGTATGGAGGCATGGAGGCATGGACGGATGGACACCACTGCCAACAGCCAACATGGCAACATGGCGGCTTGGCTTTGCTCTCCTCAGCACTGCTCAGCTCTCTGCTCTGCTCTACTCCTGCCGTAGTCTGGGCCAGAAACGAGTGTCATTTGTAGCAAATTGCAAACCGCAACAATTTCACAAAGGACAAACAAGCGACACACGAGAGACAGCCACAACAACAACAACAATAACAACAACAATAACAACAACAGAAACAACAACAATAAACAGTTGCCATCATGTGGGAGAGTCCTCAGCGTTGTTGTTGCCGCTGCTGAGCTTGGAGCCCGAGCAATCTGTTTCAATATAAAAGCACATGAGGCATTTACGAGCGTAAACAAGCGTTGTGGGTAGCTGAGCTGAGCAGAGCAGAGCAGAGCGGAGCAGAGCAGGGGGTGGCTGTTTCTGTGGTTGGAGCTTTGGGCGTTTGATATTATTATTTTTTTTTACTCATCGCCATTGCCGATGCGGCCACTTAAATGCCAAAGCATTTGTAATAGTTTGCTTCGCTACAACTTTTCCATTTTTTCTTGGAGACTTTGTCCTGCCTGTGGTCGGGTAGCTTGGCTTCCCAGGGAGATTCTAGCTGCACTGCTGGTGTTGTCGCTGATGATGATGAACATGATGGGACTTGAAACAGAAGAGCCGCCGTATATTGCCAATATCTAACGTATATAGACCGCATTTTTCTTCAGGCATAGTTTCTTTTAATTTAGTGCAGATATATTTATGATATAGGAAGGAAAGTTAAACTAACCTGTTTACATTTTCAAAATAAATGATTGGCTTTCTATTGTGTCAAATGATTTCCAAACGTTTCTATAATCATTGCCTATTGACTGCGAATGGAAGAGAATTGAAATCAAGAGCTGCCATCCATTTTGTTAATTAAAGCAAAACAATCAAGCAAGCATAATAAACAAATAACTAACAACGAGGCTGAACTTAGAAATTAATTATTTGCTAGCAGTTGTGGCTTATTTAAGAGTGATTAAGATTTAAGGTTTTCAAACTTAAAAGCAATTGAAAAGCGACTAAATTATAAATTTATAAAAACAAAACAATGATTTATTATTACTTAATTAATTAGTTAATGGCCTACAAAAATGTATTTTGCGACGAAATTTAAATTTATTTAACGCGTAATTTGCAGTGTTTTCCTTAAGTTTGTTTTTGAATTTTTGCAAAATTTAATTAAAATTGAATAACGGTTTGGATTTGTGCATAATTATTGAAATGATCAGAAACTCAAATTTTCACGTTGCTATTTTATAACTATAAGGAATGCAGGAGGAGTGAAAAATAAATGTCACAATTACTTGAAGATATTGAAGAAGTTTAGTTCCGGAAAGGTGTCGGCAAGTCGTGAAATTTTAGGTCGAATTATGTTGATCGTTTTATCATAACACACCAGAGATAAAGCCTTCTTCAATCACCTTTAAATGTGGATGATTCTTTGGGGATTTGAAAGCCAATCAGCACACAAGATGTTTTCGCTTCTTTCCAGTCCTCCTCAATTGCTTTGCATAACTGTAAATCCGTGAAAGTGAACGAACTATCTGCACTATTTGGCGTGTTGGGATCTCGTCGGAAGGGCATTAAAGTTTCGGATGGTCAGGTAGGGTGTTGTGTTTGTAAGCTTTGATTTTCTTCTCTCAACTCTCACTCTCTCTCTCTCGCTCGCTCTTTCTCACTCTCCCTCTATAACTTTTTTTGGGGGTGGTTGCGACAACAACGAAAATAGTGGGGGTGTGCGTATGTGTGTGTGTGTGTGTGTGTGCGTGTGTGTGTGTGTGCGTGTATTGCTGCTGTTTTTTTCACTGTTGCGTTTTGCAAACATTTTCGTCCCTGGGGTGTCATAATTCTTGACGAGCTCATCTTTTACTTAAGTTTTACATAATTTTCATGTCGTTGCCCGGGCATGGGTTGGGCAGGCGGTGTTGAGGGCGTTGGGGAGGTGAAGGCATCCTGGAATCCATGGAGATAACATAAAATCAAAACGTGTACGGGGGGCGGGTGCCAGTTGGCGGCAGTTTTGCGGTAAAACGCTCAAGTCTACGTGTTTGCGGCTTTTTTTTTTTTGCTTACGTTTTGTGTTTGACGATTTTCCTTTCTGCTCTTTTCTTTCTTTTTTTTTGTTCATTTTACACTCTTTTTTCTCTGGATGTGTGTTGTGCCTGTCTGTGTGTGTGTGTGTGTGTGTGTGTGTGTGTGTGTGTGTGTGTGTGTGTGTGTATATATTTGAGTGCTCTCTGGCTGGGTCGCGTAATTGCCTCGATTTTTTGACACTTGTCGGCACAGATTGTGCGGCCATGTGGCGCGTGACTAGTGCGAGGCCATAGGCTGCGTCCAGGGAGGGTAACACGAAGGGGGGCGGCTGTGGCAGAGTCATGTCTGCTAGCTGTTGGCAATTAGCCATGAGCTATGAGCAAGTGTTTGCATAAACTGAGTCGGAATAGGGATGAGAGTGCATGGCAGGTGGGCTGACGAGACGAGTCGATATAGACATGTCTGTCTGGATGTACGCTTGGCTTGCGGAAGCAGTGGAGCCCACATTGAAAAAACTTGATTTAGTCGTAGCATTACATAACTTTAAGCCTATTTTGAAATTAACAATCATTTCTGATTGAATGTTAATGCAAATTAAACACATACAGTGTCGGGTACACCTAACAAGACCGCAAAAAAATTGGGAAAAGATTAACTTTTTCTTAAAGCTAAAAACACCTCCAGCGCTGTTCAATAGCTTCGATACCCTATTTATAGTGATGAGCCTCAAAAAAGGCTATGAAGAGCTATAAATTTTGGAAAATCTCCAGTTTTTCAAATTTGGAAGGACGAAATAATCCGAGAAGGGATAAGGGTGCATGAGCCAACAATACTAACTTTAGTTATTAATGTATGAACAAACATTGAAATAAGCTGTGAATTTTTTGTGTTTTTGCAGAATAATTAACTCAAATATTCCTTCGCTTTCTTTGTAACCAATTCTCCCCTTTCAGTACATTACAACAACAGCTCACCAAAAAAAAAACATCTATTTGTTACAATCAAACAATTTACGATAATGTCAGACAATTAGTTGTAAATCCACTTATAAAACATCCACTGTTTTTCAAAAATTCGTTTTCAAATGCAATTTTTTTCCAATATTTTTCCATAAGCAATGGAAACTCTCTCATTTGGATATGTTTGCAGTTTTTTATGTCAATTTTCAATTAATCATTCCCATTGTTTTTAAATGTGTCTAGGAATAGGTTTCTAGCGCATCCTAGACTCTGATTATCTGCTTTCAAATCGAGATAGATATTTCCATTATCTTTCAAATCAAGCAGTCTTCTTAAAAGCCTTTCCCGATTTTTTTCTGAAATCTTTGAACATCGAATACAGCTGCAACTGGTAATTATTACAATCTTTCTTTTCCCCTCCTGCCTTCTTCACTTTCCACGCTCAATCACAACATTCTCGTTCCTCTGTTGCCTGTCCGGGACCTTCTTGTCTCAATTTTTTGCCTAATTATTTAACTGTAATGTGCCAACCCTTTTCCCCCGCTACCTTAGCCGACCCTTGTTTAATTTAACCACCGCTCCATCATTGCTCCATTTGCCAGTGGCTCGTGAGGTTCTGGGCGGAATGGGCGTGTTACTTGTAATGCTATTTAAGAAAAATTACGCCTCAAAACTGTAAATGGCCAAAGAACAGAGTAGCAGCGGCAACAAACATTTAAAAAAAAAAAGAACGAAGAAAATTCATGACATAACGCCAACGAAAAATGCAAAATAAGTCAAGTGTTCAGAGAATGGGGAACCGGGGCAGGGACTGGGACAGGGGCCGGGGATAGGGATAGGGATGGGCCACTGTTCTGGGGTGCTTCAGTCTGGCCGCCAAAATGTTGTTTTTTTTCGGCAAATTTTTTATCTAGAGCCGCCATCTTTGTACTAAATGGTAACGGTAATACAGCAAACACTCGCACACTTATTCATAGACAGTCAGCCGGAGAGATGGCGAGCCGGAGAAACAGACAGACGGGCGGCATTTTTTGGCAAAAGACCCTTGGCTGTGTGTGGTTTTGGGCAACCGCTTAAGCCAAATCCGCCCCTTGAAGTGCTTATCCTTTTCATTTGTTGTTGTTGTTGTTGTTGTGATTTTTGTTGTTCTAGTTATTGCTGTTGCTGTTCGGCAAAGTGTTTTCAATTTAAGTTTAGGCAACAAAACGCCTTTTCATGTTTATTAGCTGGCGTTATATTAGTAGCCAGCCCACAGTACCGGCCTTCCTTCCCCAATACATCAGACAGTGGTTTAGTTGAATTTTGAATTTGTTTTCTTATGATAAGATATTTAATTACGAAACTACTTAGTACAGAGCTATATGCACTTGTAAGCGATTGCTCGTCTCTTTCTCAAGGGGTTAGCCCATGAATACCCAAAGAATACTCAAAAGTAATGCAATGGTTACCCAAAGGTTACCAAATGGATACGCAAACTTACCCAAAGGGCACCTAAGAGTTACCCAAAGGTTACCTAGTGGCTACACAATGCTCATTCAATTGATACCCAGTAGTTACCTCTTGGTTACCCAATGGTTTCCCAAATGCTACTCAATATTTATCGAACGCTTTCTGTTTTTTTTTTGACCTAGTGGTTACCCAGTTATACACAATATTAGTCAGTGGTTCGCTATTGTTGGTGGTTACCTAAGCTTGTGATGAGTTTTTACTGCAGTTCCATAATTGAGCTTTCTTTGGAGACAGGTTCTTAGTGACTGTCTGCTGTCCCTTATTGCAATTAGAGGCTACTTGGCTGATTGAACATAATCGATTGAAAGGAATTTTAAACGGACGGGGAACACACATTATTCTTTTCTTTAAAAACTATCCATTTGTTTACAAAATTTTGAAAAATGAATTGGAAATTCATGTTAAGCAGCATTTTATGGTTTATTTAAAAAAATCGTAACTCAGAAATTCGTGTGCACGAAAAATTTTGAAAAATTATGAATTTTGAACTAAGAACTTTGAACCCGACTTGTTCCTACGCCCACATTACTCGCCCGTCATGGTGGGTAAAAGGCAAAGCTCGGCATCCACATTTCCGAAGCGCAACTTGACAAACCCATCGATTGCATCATGGTAGGTGACGGTGGCTACGGAGCCCACATGCTGGCCATTCACGACCACATCGCCGCCACGACTCTCATTCAACAAGTAGAGAACGTTGGAGGTACGCGCTAGGGTTGCATGGACCTTGGCTATAGACTGCGTTGGACTAAGTATTCGACTTGTGCTTCTTCTGCAAGTTGTTCCAACTCACCCTGTCCGATAGGCAAACATCTAGGTCAGCGCTTATGTCACTTCCAATGCGTACGATTTGTGATTTTCCTATATAGATTGTAGGGCGTTCTTCGAAGGTTATACAAGCCATGAATCAATTTTTTTTAACTGCCAGCGATTTGAAAAAATTAACACAATTTTTTTTTATTACTTTCAACGTTTTCAACTTTTTACATAGAATACTTTTACAGTAAGTTCCTGGCTTACCCAGACACCAAGTTAACCTAGACGTGTTAAAGGTTTCCATAAGAAAATGGTACCCTATGATTTAATATTTATTTATTTATTATTAGTTCCTAGTGCGACAAGAAAGATTCTTATAAATTAACGCACTAGTCACAAAAATTAAGTTTCCTTAGATAATAAAATGGAAAGCGATTTGATTAGCCTACTTAATACGTAATAACATAAACTTGATATGCATACGAGTTAGCTGAAACTATATGTTAAGTTTGACAAACGTAGGTCTTTTATTTCTTGAGATTCAGGCGGTCAGACGTTCGAACGGATACCACTTATTAAGAAACAATGCCTATGTTTCAGGGGATGATAGGAAGAAACTTTAACTTTATTTGAAACTTGATATTTATGCTGAGATTCTATGTAAAGTTTGCTTATAATTTCTTCTCAGACTGAGGCATTCAAACGCTCGAATCGATACAACCGATCAATATTCAAAGCAAATGGGATTTGTTGTAGGGTTGAGAGATTTCGTAGCATTTTAAAGAGATTCAAAATAAAACTTCAGCTTGATCGACAGATGGATTAAACGAGCCGCTTGGTTACTCTAGGTATTTTAAATACTGAGACTCTCTCTGGATGACTGTCAGTTCAGATATCATAGTTTTCGGCGCCCATTGTAGAGCCATACACATCACTCCCGGCACCGGACCTAAGCCCGCTTGGCAACTGCATTTAAAAACATTCATTACACCACATTTTCTGGCGTCTAGCCAACTTATCAAATGAATCACAACTACTGCTAAGACTGTACTTACAAATTGGCTGAATTTATGGCCGCGGGTCGCGGTTGTTTTTGTTCTCATTGGCCAGACCCCGAACCAGAAGCATAGCTTGTTATGCAAATGCCGGAGGCTCAGGCAAAGGGCAATGAGTGAAGGGGGTAAGTGGAGGAGTGTGGGAGTGGGTGAGTGAATGTGAATGAGCTAGTCAGTTGAATATCTTAAATGGACTTGGACAATTGCCAGCACTTAAATAATTATCATTTCCCTAATAAATACTCGTGTGTTTCAGGCAGACACGCGCTCGTCAAAAGCTCATTTGGTCTGTTAACATACCTAGAGGTTAGGAAAAGAAAAAAAAAAAAGAAAATAAAATAAACCGAAAATCTCAACGATCTCGGAACCTGGCAATGCGTCCAATTAGTCCGAATACAATGGTGGAATGAATGGCCATTCTACAGCTTATTAATTAAAGAAAATCAGTGGAAATCAGTGGAAATCGTTGTGTGCTCGAGAAATGCGCATTAAAATTGATGGACATGCGCGCTTCCAGTCTTTCTTTTCTTCCCATTTTTTTTTTATAGTTTTTTTTAATCTTCTGCTCATTTCTTCTATTTTTGATGGGGCGCCCAAGCCAACAACACAACAATTTTCAACGCCAGCTGAAGCTGAAGCTGTAGCTGAAGAGTGGACCCATAATTAATCTCTGGCCTAGGTAGCCAATAAAATTATGGCAATTACAGTCGCAAAGAACGACGGCGGTGAGTTTGTGGTTGAGTGGTTGAGTTGTCTATCGTTCGGTGGCTAATGAGGCGCGCTGCCCTGCCCGCTTCCCGCTGCCCGCCGATCTTTGTCTGCTGCTTTCTTCTGACTGCTCTCTTCTGACCTCGCACTTCTAAGGCAGCATAGCAGATCAGCTAAATTCATTCATCATTCTTGATCAGCAGCAGAATCAGCAGCAGCAGCAGCACCAGCACCACCAGTCGTAGATGTTGCTGAGTAGTAGGCCAGCGGTGGTGCTGTTGGTGGTGGTGGGGCGTGCCAATAGAGTTCTTATTAATTTGCCCAATTTCCACAACGCAAGAAGAGAAAAACTTAATTAAAATGTCGTAAACGAAAATTGTATGTTTCTGCTTCTGCTGCTCGTGTTTTGTGGTTTTGTGTTCTGTGTTTTGTGTTTTGTTTTTCCTGGCCAGGTCGTTGCGGGGGCCAAAATAATTAAGACATTTCACTTGCCTATGGTTGGGCAGGGCGAGCGGCGAGCGGCGAGGGGCAAGGAAATTGGACCGAAAATGGGAAAATTGTTTGTTGCCCAATTTCGAGCTGACTCTGGTTTCGGGTTTTTGGCTTTCGTTGCTGTTGTTGTCATTTCGGGGCCGCGACCGAAAACAATAAAAATGACTAATGGCAGCTAATTTCCCGTCGTCGACGATGTCGATTGTGAGTTTCACATTTGGCCGCCTTCCTCATCGTTGTAGCCGTCTTCATCGTCATTTTGGCCATTTGCCCGACTTACAAAACTGTTGTTGTTGTTGTTGCCGCTGCTGCTGCTGCTGCTGTTGGTGATGAGGGGGTGTTGCCTAATAGGCGTTACATGGACAACGGCTAGTCGGAAGCCAGAAACAGTCAGCTACTTGAAACCGAGTGCTTCGAATTTTGCAGCTTGCCGCATATTTCCTGCTCTTCCTTTTTGCCGCCACGCCGCTGCTGTATTTTAAAATCCCTTGTACACGGCATCAGTATTTTCTGAATTTCTCCATCAACTTTTTTATGCCTTTTCCAATATCTTGTCTCATGTCTAATGTTTTCCCAACCTTGCTTTTCTTAATTTTCGATCATTTTGTTGCAGCTGTGCTCTTCGCAAATCTCCACTATCCTCAGATTTTTGATGGATAGTCTTTAAACCAAGTATTTCTAGCTACGCTTGAAGACTCTTCCTGCTCTTCTGAGGCAGATGTTGTCTCCTTTTCTATCATCTTTGATTATTCAAATCAATTGGATTACCCTTTTCCACTATTGCAGTTTCAAAAATCTATTTAAAAAACTAGATTTCACGTAATTTAAGGCAGAGTTGAAGCATATTTGGAACATAAATGTGTTCATCAGGTCTTAGAAATGATAAAATCATGTTGGAATTAAACATCCTTAAATGTTGATGATAATAATAACATATATAATATTTATTTTAATCTAGATTTAACTGGAATATTAACTTGTTCATCAGGTCAAAGAAATGATAAAATCATGTTGGAATTAAATATCCTTAAATGTTGAGGATAATAATTAATATTTTTTTTTATCTATATTGAACTAGATTTCATGAAATTTAAGGCAGAATTGAAGCATATTTGGAATATTAATTTGTTCCTCAGGTCTTAGAAATGATAAAATCATGTTGGAATTAAATATTTTTAAATGTTGAGGATAATAATTAATATTGTTTTTAATCTGCTTATTTAGCTAAACAGCAGCATTAAAACATCAATCATTAAGTCTTTTTATAGTACAAAATTATTTCTCGATCGTTTCAAGTGCGTTCATTAATTTTAGCCTCAATTGAATCAAAAAAATGAAAATCGTTTTTTGATTAATATTTAATCTTACATCTTCCTAACAACTTTAATTTTCTCTTACATTCTCTGTATTCTTTCTGTATATGTATAGTATTTAATCTGTTTTTATGTTGTTATTTTTTTTAAAATTGTTCTATATTGTGGAAAATTTCTTGTTAACCAGAATTTTTATAAGTAACCTTTCTTGAAATTTTATGTAGATGCGGCACCTCCTTTAGATAGACACTATCATGGATGAAAGTGTGAATTCATGTTTTGTTTTTCACAGAATTTGATTCATAAATCTGACAATTCGTTAATTTTCTATTATGCTGCTTGGTTTAATCAACTAAATGGCCTGACAACGAAATTTCTTTTTAAAAACCTTTAAATTTTCTTCTTAATTGGCCCTCTTAATCATAAGGCAATAGTCGAGAGTTCCAGCGAAAAGCGTTCTTTAGAAATTCCAGGAATTGTGGCAAGTCGCATAGTCCCAATAATTGATTCGCTCGATGCTGTTTAGAGCATGGAAGAAGTCCTGGGGCATTAACACAACAACAGTTACACTATACTGTTTCAATACCCTACCATACCTCTCTGCACACATACGGGTATACATATACATATGTACTTGTATGTATGTATGTCCTAACCAAGGCCCCAATGTCGCTTGCCGGAGGGGCCTAAAACTATTTGCGGAAGCCTCAAAACGCACAAAACGTTTGCCAAATTTAATTACGCGCATAATCAACAAGCCACAACAACAGCAACAACAGCAACAACAATACCATTCACACACAATCCAGCTACAACAAAAACACAACTAACAGAAACAACAACAACAAAACATTGGCTGCTGTCTGGCAAACACTGCGGGCGCCGGCGCGCAAATTTTTGTTGTTGATTAAAAATTTATCAAAAAACATAAACAAAAATTATGCATGCCCCAATGTTTGTATTTGCGTCTGTGTGTGTGTCCATGTGTGTGATTGTGTGTGTGTGTGTGTGCGTGTCGCAGCGAATTGATTAAAAAGAGCAATGCGATTGAAATTTTATTGGTAAATTGAATAAACTGCGCGTCGGGGCATTTGGGGAACTTGTTTGTTGCCGGGCTGTTCGCGTCGCTCTCGTCGCACATTTGCCACAATTTTTGTTATAAATTAATAAACTTGCCGCCCCTGTTGTTCTAGTGTTTGTGGTTGTTCTTGTTGTTGTTGTTGTTGTTGTTTCCGTTGTGACTCTATGAGTTTTTGTGGATATCCAACCTATATAATTAATTCATCTTTGGGTGCATCGATTGGAGACCTTCAAGCGGATGTTTCTTTATTTTAATTCAGAACCACACATATAATATACATTCTTGAACATTCTTTCTATTTAGCGATATTTCGTTGATATGAGATTAATTGAAAACTGGAAACAATCATTGTAACTAATCAAGTCTTCACATTGACACTATGACGCATCAAATGCGAATAATTTAGGCAAGGCAACGAAAAACCTTTCCACGCGAAATGTGAAAAAGTCCAAGGTCGTTTTAATACATTTAAAGTTAAACACAGAGCTTCCTAGGGTGTTTCTAACATCTTGTCAGTCCTCATAATTGACGCCTATATCTTTGAGCTGTCTGCTGCCGAGATGTGAGTTGCAAATCAAGATTCAAACGCAAGATACAACTTTATGTGAAAAATGTGTTCCAAAACACTAAGACTTTGCGGTTCATCTACATTCCCATATTTTCAGAAAGTTATAAATCACATAATGGCCTGTGCGATGATTTTATTCGGAAACTTCTTTAGTAGTTTTTACAAGTATTTTGTTTCCATTCTTTCAATAGACGACATATTGAAAACATAAAAAAAAGTATTATAAATAAATAATAAGGAGATTGTGTTGTGCCCCAAAACGCGGTGTTTAGGAGACTTCCAATATCTTATCATCTCAGCTCAGAAATCTTCTATGTTCCTAGGGGCACTAATTTTTTTAAAGACGTTCTTGTGGAGAAACACATACTCTTCTCATTCTCCAAACGTTAAAGGCTGCCTGAGCCATATTTGATTTGGATTTTAATGTTGTGCGTTTTGCATTATAAAATACTTTAAATTGTTACTTTTAAAATACATTTTAAGTACATAAATATTTTGTAAATTAAATAAAAATTTCAAAAAGTTCAAAAAGATATTCTTCATTTCAAAAGTTTCATAAAGTCCCACCTTTAAATTCGATTATAACGAATTGTAAGTATGATATAAAAATAAAAGACCTACAAAATGTGAAAATAAACCCGAATGAAGTGAAGTGAAAAACTCATGATTCATTATGAAATATATATTACCACTAGAAACGAATTGTTAGTGAATACTTATCGAATAGTTTTGGCACAATACTCTAAATCAACACAGAAATCAGACTCTGATGTTTCCAAAGTATTTTTCGTTTCGCTCGAATTTCTAGTTTTCAGTGAAGACTCTTAATATTAAACATTAATTCTACATATTTTGTACGAAATTACAAAACAAAGACTTTTTCCCATAGTGTCATTAGTATTTCAATTCTCTACATCGAGATATTGTTTGTAAAATTCGGTCTGTGAAAACTGAAATTATCAAAAATTGAGCTTGCGACCGTTCATGCGAAGCTCTCGAACTGGTTATCTATAGGTAAGTATTCTGAAATTCCCGGTATATTTGATGTTGCTGGGTGTATTTCACACAAGCCCCTAGATTATATTCGTCATGACTAACGCATTTGGAAGCTGTGGGGCTCTAACCCGTAAAATGAAATCCGAGTACTGGAATATGGCTGGCTTCTCCACTGAGCCCTGGTACGATCTATTTACTACATTGGGTGCACGTAATACTCCAATAATTCCCACTGCTGCCGCTGGCACAGCCTTGACTTACAATCATCTGATGTTGTCAAGAATGCTGCTCTAAATCGGGGGAAGGTGAGGGCGACCAGTCGGCCGATCTGATCGATATCCATATGGATCGCTAATTCCAGCTATTTTTTCAGCTTATCCGCTCGTAACTTACTATATAGAAACCAACTTGATTAAGGAACCGAAACACTAATCTGGCAACAAACACGAACACTGAATAGATTGGGCAGTTCTTTGAGGCAACAATAATTGAATCGTTACATCAATTCTCTTATTTCAGCAGCATTCATTAATTCAATAATAAGGACAAATATTCGTATCTTAATGCATTTCATGTGGACATAATTCGAATACACAAAACAAAAAAACAAAAAAACAAAAAAAAAAATATATATATATATATATATATATATATATATATATATATATACATATAAGAATAAGAAGAATAAGAATAAGAACAGCCTAGCCTAGGCGGTAAAATAAAGGACTAGAGAAAATAAATTCTTTAGATGATCACATCAATGGCTTAATAATCAGGTTTCTTAAGAATAAATCGAATATAATGTATTTAAATAAATAAATAAATAAAGTATATACTATCTACGATAATAAAACATTTATCGTAGATAAGACGATTAATAAAAAGCAATCTTTCATAAGTTATCATTCATAAATTGAAGACTTGTTTCGAAATTATATTTTAATCGACCGCATCAAGTTCTGATAAACTATTCACATTCCTTGTCTTTCTAAACTTTATAAAGACAGCTTTATCTATGATATAAAGGTATTTATTGAACAAAATCATTATATTCTTATCAAAATCCACACTCAAGGCATTTAATAGGTTTCAGAAACGCGCCAGAAAGCTAAAAACATTACAAATTCTCATTTAAGATCGGGAAATAATGAAAGCTAAATATGTCAGTCTCTACTTTATGGACCGATCTGATATTGTTAAGTGCAGGATTATTGAGTAAAGATTAAATAGGACTACTGTTAATAATTATGGGAGTCGTACTCGTAGTACTCCCGAGCTGCTGGCTGACGAATCATCTTATTAATGCCGGCCAAGCAGGCTATTTTTGGTCATTCACATTTAAAAAACTCTAGATAGAAATTCTATTCGGCCCATTTGAGCTGTAAATTTATAACCTTTCGGAAATTTCACGGCAGCTTATCTATCTAAATCTTTCGATTCGCTCCTCCACACGTGAGTTTGCAGTATTATCGACTGATCACATCTCATTATGTGTTATATAGAAATCAAGCTTCTAGCTATCGATCGTCATGACCAATGCGATTGGAAGTTGTGGCGCAGTCGCTCGCCAAATGTATCAAAATTATTGGTATATGGCCGGCTCTACGCCAGAGCCGTGGCATGCACTTTTCACAGCCAGGGGTGCATACAACTACCCGATTATTCCCAATGCCAATGCTGGCGCGGCTCTGACTTTAAATCAACTGATGTTGTCGATAGTGGGACGTTAAGGTGGAAGGGGGAAACTATAGAGGAAATTCTTTACTGTATCTTTAAGGCATCGGTGGCAAGGAATTCCAAAAGCCATGGCAAGAAATGAAAATTAATAAAAAATTAATCGTTGAATTAATTGAAAAAGTTTATTTCTTAAAAATTATATCGACAAAATCCTTTTGTAGCGCTCATATACATTCAATATTCCAATGTGCTCAATTCATTGGGAGTGGTCGGGACTAGTTTGAGTTCGAAACTAAATTCAAATTAGATTTCGTAAGAGCTCAGGTGTAATGCCTGTTCAGAAAGAATTTGAACATTTTTAGGAAGGTTATGAGTTCGGGAGGCACTTTTTTATTTACCATGGCCTTCGATTCATATCAAGGTGACATGCTCGATTTAAAATGATATTTGTGTTTTTTCCTAGCATCGTATTGCCTGCAGTATATTTCTGTGAAGATATAATACCACCTGTGTAGCGTATTCCTGTATTCATTGGGATTGACAGAACCTTAAGCTAATTTCAGATAGATAATTAAATTTGAATAAACATGAGTTTATGCAGACAAATGGTTTTCGATGGAGAAGCAAATCTGCTGAGGCGTATCAAGAATTTCGGAAATTCCCTTTGGGGCAACTTTTAGAAGAACTGAGAACTCTAGCCGATTGTGATCAGCATAGGAAGTCTCTACTGTAAGCCAAGTCCATTAATTCGACTGCAAATATTAAAACTTACCTTCGTTACAATTTTTAATCATAGTTGGTGTCGCAGTCCTTGACACTGAGGCTTCCGTTTTAATATGTTGGTGTTGCTGTTGTTGCTGGTGTTGCTGTTGCTGCTCAGCAGCTGCGGCTGCCGCTGCTGCTGCATTGGCGCGTTGCATGAGTGCCATGTGGCGCAGCATATTGACGGAGGGGCGCGGCTGCTGATGATAGGGGAGGGCGGACAATGTGCTCTGAAGAGGATGCGGCGGCTGCGACGCTGCAGCAGAAGCTGAAACTGAAGCTGAAGCTGGGGGCAAGGACGACAAGGTTGATGGTGCGCCTGCGCGCAATAAACCCAAAAACGGAGCCCAATGGGGCATGCGCATATTGGCAGCGGCTGCTGCCGCATATAATTGCAAGGCTGAGGCATTGTTGTTGCTGTTGTTGTTGTTATTGTTGTGCGCCTGCGCAACTGCAGCGGCAGCCGTCAAATGTTTGAGCAAATGATCCATTCCTTGATGGTTGCTGTTAACTGCATTTGTTATTATTGTTGTTGTTGTTGTGGTTACGATACTGTTGCATGACACTTGACACTTAGCACCAACACAGACAAAAAAAGAACAAGAAATAATTTGCAAAGAAAACAGCGTTGCCTGCTCTAGGGCGCAAGGACACTTCGGAGACTGCGACCCATTGTGCGTTGGGGCACAAATTGATTTGAATTAAAATTACAAGCAACTGTGCCGATTTACGCGACGCGAGGCACACACACACACACAAACACACGTACATGCACATAAACATATATGCACGTATATATGTATATAATATATGTGGATAGGAATATAAGTAGCTGTTGAGGAAATGGCAGGCAGCGCTGACGACGTCGCGACGCTTCAAAGTTGGAGTCTAAATGAAAATGGCTATGCGGACCGGCTGGCCACGCATTGCAAGTTGGCAGACAGCGAAGTGTATTTGTTTAATAATTGCAAAGCGCCATGCACTGACAACAACAACAACAGCAACAACATTAGACACTCAAGCAATATCAACAACAACAGCAACAATATTAACCACAACTCTAACAACAACAACAACAAGAAACAAAAGAGCAAGCGTCGCAGTCGCAAATGCTGCGCTGTTGGCCGTAAAAAAAAAGTGTCAAAGCCGTTTTGTTCGCTGGTTGGCTGTTTGGGTGGGTTTGTGTCCATGCTAAAAAGTGAGATGGCAAGCAACACCTGCGACGCAGCAGCAACGGCAACAACAACACCAACAACAACAATAATAATAATAATTTTCAACACTTGTGGCCAAAGCATAGCGCATTGCTGCTGCTGTTGTTGTTGTTGTTGTTGTTGTTATTGCCGCGTGCGACTGCAAGCAAAAATCATTAACGTTGAAATTTATGTGCGCAAAAGCGAGAAATAACAAAATGCTGTCAACGTCGCTGCCCGCGCCGCTGCCAACGTGCGCGCCTCTCGGTGCTGCGGCAATAAAAAGAAAAATGGTTTCACTTAACAACGACAACGATGACGACGACGACGGCGTCTCCTTCTCCAATTTCAGCTTCAGCTCCCAGATATATCGTCGTTATTGGAAGCAAAAGAATATTAAGAAATGCAATAATGGTATATTATATTTTTTTTCTGGTTCAATGCGTGCGAAAGAGAGCAACAGAAGCAGCAGCAGCAGCAGGCGCAACAGTCGATGGCTGGGCAAAGTGAAAATGAAATGAAAAACGCCAAAAAATTGATTTAAAGTGAATGTTGTTGCTGCACACAAACGCAAAGACGCACGCATACACAGCCACCCATCACATGCTCTATGTGTATGTAGGTGTGCGAGAGCGTGAGAGAGCGCACGCAAGCCGAACTCCATATGCAAGGGAGCGAGATAGCAGCTGTGCGACAGGCGTGGCCAGAAAATACTGGGATATTTTTGTATGCCTTGCTCTGTTGTCTTCTGCAGCAGAGATGACTGTTGTTGTTGTGGGTTTGCTGCTGCCGCTCCTGCTTGTTTGTTTGGGGCTGGTTGCGCGCGCGTGAAGCGTTATGATTATGGCCAATTTAGTGTGGCGCTGGCAGAGGCAGCTACGTTGGCAGCGCAGCAGCGCAACTGCCACTGACATTTTATTGATTGTTTTATGCGATTATAATGTAATAATGTCTTAAATATGTAGCCAGTAACAGCAGTAGACCCCCTGCTACCCCAACAACTACCTATCTACACACCGACCCTTTTTCTGTCCCGCACAAAAGGCCAGCAGCCCACTGCGCAGCTGCGTCTTCTGCCAGCCAGCCAGGCAGCAGCGGCAGCGACAGCAGCAGCGTCTTTTAAATGAATTATGCAGCCGGCACCCACGCACACACCCATACACCCACACACACCCATACACACACAGACGCTCTCGTTGACCATTTGCTGGCCCACGTTTTGCCATCTTTCTGATTGGCAAAAATAAAATTTCATACTGCCTTGGCTCTTGCTGTTTCTTTTTTGTTCAGCTCCTTCTTCTTCTTCTTCTTTTTTGTCTACTTCTTCTTCATAGTGGTCGTTGTTGTTGTCCTCGTCATCGTCGTTCTTACATTATCAACCACAAAAAATCTATAAACGCACAGCATTTCGCCAACGCCTCCAACGCCGCACTCAACTCAATTCAATTAATTTTCACTTGATTTTTCCACACACAAACAAATTTTCATTTAATTTGCTGTGGGGCGTTCTTCTTTTTTGGTTTTTTGCTTTTGCTTTTGCTCCCGCTTCTATCTCTGCCCCATCCTCGTGCTCTTCGTGCTCGCGCGTCTTCTTCTTGCTTATTAACGGGCGCCATTTTCTTGCGCTTGATTTTCTATTAAGTTGGTAGCTGGCTTGGGTGAAAACTTTTGCGCCGACGTCTGCTAATGGACCAAAAGTCGACGCACCTGCCCCCTCGCCGCCCCCACAACCACCGCCTCTGACGCCCCACGAAGCCCATTTAGTTTTATGACTTGCAGAGCAAATCTGTTGCGACGTTTTTGCTGTGCTGATTATTATTATTATTGTTATTAATATTATTAATAATACAATTAGGCGCATTATTATTATTATTAAATTTGCATTTTAATTTATGAATAAAAACAGAACAGAGACAGTGTAATTGACTTTCTCTTTTTTCCTCTTCCCCATGCAACTTTTAATTAAAAAGTTATAAATACTATGAACACGAAAAATATCACCAACAAATTGAAATGAGAATATTTGGTTAATTTAAGAAGGGCTATTAATAGCTCGGCTTATGACTGATAAAATTCATTTGAAAGTTAAACACCATGCTTTTATTATTATTGTATATTGTTAAATTTAAGCTGACATGGCTATGATTTTTGGGTAAACTATATGATAGGAATATCGCGGAAGATAGAATAGAAGCTTACCTAGACAGATGAGAGCATCAAACCGGTGTATATGAATAGAGAGACCGATTAGTAGCTGGACAACGAGATGTAAAATTAAGAAATGTGTACACTTGTCTCGCATCGGAACAAAGTTCCATCAAGACTCAAGTCATGTCCAAAAAACTTAAAAAAAATATTCGCATTTTAAGATGAAACTTTTCTTATACAATTTTCAAAAGATAAATATAAGACTTGTGATCTCTGTTTAAGTCTGTGTCTCCAAGCTTTTCAGATTGTGTCGTTTTCTATTTAATTTTTATTTAATTCTATTTTTTATTTAAAAATTCTTTTCTAACTTGTAGGATGAGGAAAATGAAAGAAACTGTGTGTTTTCTTCACGTTTTATGTTGAGTCATCAACAAAGTATTTTCAATATAACATTTTTTTATATTTTATATAATTTAGTGCCAGAGTGCACGTATAACTATAAAATACTCTCAAAATATTCACACTAAGCTAATATTATTTTTATAGAATTTTCTTTTAATACAAATGCTTAAGTGGAATATAAAAAATGAAACAAATATAATCATATGCATTTAAAATCTTAATAAATTAAGCAAGTACTGGGAACAAAAATATAAGCCACAGCTTTCCAACCGGAAAATCTGAAAATAATTTTCAAAACGTTTGCATTGCGCATGGAAATATTTTATTTGATATTTTTTTATTTTATTTAAAACAAACTATTTAAATAAATATATTTTGCTTTTAAAGGTCTTTGACCTGTAGGCAGCCAAAGAATGAAAAACAAACGCAATTAAATGGAGTCCAAACTTGTATCGACGTCTTTCCGAAAAGAAGGCCACAGCTAATTAGCTCAAGAGGAGCAGGACTTGAACATTTTGCAATTTTAGTAGATTCTTCGAGCAGGAGATAATTTTCCTCAAACTACTCTATGAAATGCTCCTTAAATTATTAAAATATCGAATTGTTTATTGAAATTTTGTGTATGCTTCGCATTTGCTTGTTGTCGTTCTATAGCCGCACAATCTGTATCTTTTTTATCTTTTGGGGAAGAATTCAAAAACTTAGGTATAGAGTATTATGGAGCTCTAGCGCCAATACTTTCGTCCTAAGGGCTCGGTTCGTCGGACGACTCGGAAAGAAAGCATAGCTTTGCCTCCACATTGCCGAATTGCAGCTTCACGGACCCATCGATGGCGTCTTTGTAGGTAACGGTGGTTACGCTCTCAACCGGCTGGTCATTTACAAGGACCTTCCCATCATCGGTCTCATTCACAAGGTAGACAGTCTTGTAGGTGTAAGTGATGGTTGCATGGAACTGGGCTACAGACTGCGTCGAATATTAGCTATGGGCTTGTGCTTTTTCTTCGGCTTGGGCTCAACACTTACCTCGTCGTCTAGGCAGACATCTAAATTGGTGAGCTTATTGCTCCCGATGCGAATGACTTGTAACTTTTCCATGGAGATGGTCGGGTGGCCTTCAAAGTGTATACAAGCCATAACTACCAGCAACGACTCTAAAAATCTCACAAAGTGGGTAGGAAGTAGATCTAAATTGTAGAGCAAGTGTGAAATGACAATACACTAGATTCCCGAACTGTCTAGATCGGAAACTATTTGCAATAAGCATTCAAATGGAATGATAGTTTATGAATGGGTGTCTGTGTTGTCTTTGAAGATTCTTGGCAAGGACTGCTGGCTGCATTTCCCCTCCTTTTGAAATTCCATTTCGCATTCACATGAGGACATGGTTGCATGCAACTGTTTCGTGCGATCGATTAATAATGTGTAATCGAAATCATCGAAATTTGCTAGACAACAAGTAGTATGGGAAGACAGCTTTTAAACAATTTCTTTCAATCACAAAGTCCTGTCTGAGAATTGATGGGAGGAAGCCAATAGGATTGACTTTAAATGATTGCAGGCATCGATACAGTACAATAAGTATTTTGAAATTGTTGCTTTAGCACGATTTTGTACATTTCATTTTAATTCTGCCATTCGATTATAAATTTCTTATTTATTCATTAAACGAGGTAAAATAACGCTAGATAATATTTGCCCGAATCGTGAATGGATATAGCATAAAAGTCTATGTATTTTTTTTTTAATGTAAAACTTTAAGTATACTGTTATTATTTAAATAATTTGGCCATCAAAACAACAAATTTTTCAAAACACTCTTTCTTAGTATCTCACTCGCTATTCCTCAGATACTCGTATAACCCATTCATTATTATTAGTCCTTTCTGTAGCTTCCCTAATAAACTCCCTATACAAAGTCCTACAATGTCTATACACATATATTTTTTGTATAAGCTTAGCAAATATTTTAGCTGGCATCACATTTTGTTTCCGCCTCAATAAGTTTATCAAGTTGTTGCAATCAGATTTCAATTACAATTAAAATCACATTAAAAACTATAAAAATGTCATTACAATAAACGCAATGCAATCGACAGCGACACAAATAAACTAAATGAATATTAAGTTTTAATCATTTTGTGTCTGATTAAACAAATCAAGTGACTGTGTCATTGCTTATCGACCATATCGACCCCCCCACACACGGCTGGATCCAATATTCCAAACAGCCGAAATGGGTGCAGAGGCTCAGCTCGTGTCGTGATTTTTATTACATTTCATTATTATTTACCTACTGTCGACTAATTTGTTTTTAATTTTTGCTGATAAAGTTTATGAATAAATAAGTACCTACAGAAATTAATAACTGATGCCTCCTGTCTGATTGTTGCACGGTTGGGGGGTGGCCGAGGGGGGCTGAGGGGGCTGAGGAGCCTCTATTGGACTGTAAATAACCCCAAAATAACTAAATGATAAACACGGCGCAATAATACTGACAAATAACCAAATAACGGGGGCAACAAATAATGACATTAGAGCCGATTGATTTGTCAATTCATAAAAATAATGCATTGCCACCGCTCGTGGGGCTGATAGCCTCAATCACTGTCAAGATCCGGCCTCAAAGACTACGTGGGTGCGCTGCGCTCTCGTTGATACCCCAAAATATTTGTTTTTACAATTGAATTCGTTTCGGACATATTGGACACCTCTTTTCATTCGCTATGAAATGCCAATCTTAGAATGTTAGGAGCATCGGAAAAAACGTTTTTGAAACACTTGATAGACGCTGAATTGTGGTTCGTCTTCTTCTCAACTTTTGCTCATATTTGAATTAATTTTTTTTAATGTTATTTCCCATATTGCTTTATGGAATCAGGTGCGATCGATAACCTTTTGCTCAGTGCTAAGCAATGCAAGAGAAAGATGGCGATTCCTATATACAGCACTCTTCCCGAATTCATATCGATTGCTTCTCGTCTCCGTAATAGAGTCCTTTGATAAACCAAGCAGTGAAAGAAGAATGCAACAATCAATCCTAGACTCACAATTCTTTCAGAATTTATTACGCTTACTTCTTGTCTTTTGTTGTCTTTCACACTTCTTCGACGATGTGGAAGTTATACTTTTACAGATTCTATAGTTGTTGTCTTTCACACTTCTTCGATGATATGGAGGTTATACTTTTTCAGATTCTACAGTTGTTGTCTTTCACACTTCTTCGATGATATGGAGGTTATACTTTTTCAGATTCTACAGTTGTTGTCTTTCACACTTCTTCGATGATATGGAGGTTATACTTTTTCAGATTCTACAGTTGTTGTCTTTCACACTTCTTCAGATTCTACAGTTGTTGCCTTTCACACTTCTTCGACGATGTGGAAGTTATACTTCTTCAGAGTCTACAGTTGTTGTCTTTCAAACTTCTTCGACGATGTGGAAGTTATACTTCTTCAGATTCTACAGTTGTTGTCTTTTACAGTTCTTCGATGATGTGCGATCCCCCAGACCTGTTAAGAGCGCCGAATACCCCACATTTGTAGGAGTCGTCTATGCCAGTTGGTTTTCGGATAGCGCCATCAAATCTATCCAAGGCCCCCAAAAATTGTGTCCCCAAATGGCGCGTGCTTGCTATCATTGATGGGGGACACCCGACACCCGACAGCTTTGCGGGGGCTTTCGGGGGCACTTGGGTAAGCACTTCATTAGTTGAGCGTAACTCATAATGTCATATACGAGTATAAGCACACACACACACACACACACACACAGACTCTGACACATACACACACACACAGAGACAGAACAATGAAGCATGTAATTTTCAGCAAGAAATTTTCCAACATTAATAAAAACGGTGGACTGCGACTGGGGCTGGGGATGTTTCTGCTCTTTTTAAGTAGCGCAGTAAGGGGTGTAGGAAGGGGGAAGGGGGGAAGGGGGGGCAGTGTAGTTGAACAATTTGTAACCATGAAAATCGCCGCGTCGTACAAAATCGAACGCGAATCGGAACGCATATGTCAAAATCAATGGCGGGTCATGCAGGTGGAGTGACACTTTATTGGCGACTCCATACATATACACATACATATATTTGTATATATATATACATGTATCTATATATATGAAGTGGTATGGGAGAGGGGACGGGGGGTAGGTGGGGACGGGTGTACGTGCATTGATTTGTTTGGAGAGATAAGCACTTAAATTAAGTCTTAATGCTAATGCCTCTTGTCGCACACGTGTCGTGTCGGTTTTTCGGTTTTTCGGGTACGGGTCTGTGAAATGGACATTTAATTATTTGCCGTGATTAAACATGGCACGGTGACGGTGCGCCAGGGATGGGTAATGGCAGCAGTGCGGTGTGGTTTGCTGTTCTGTGGCATCAGACGATGCTGTCCCTGTGACACGTCACATGGACCAGCCAGCCAGCCAGGACTCGATTCGACTATCACGACGATGACGTTGGCAGCTTCATATTCCAAATATTTATCTTATCAGCGTATCTTTTGCAGTTTGATTTTCATTCTGCCGTAAATAGTTGTCCGCCCCTTTGTTGCACTCCTCTCTGGCGGTTGACAGTTGCATCAGCGTTGCCCGACACCCGTCAGCCCGTCAGCCCATCAGCCCATCAGTCCGTTAGACCGTTTGCCCATCGCTGCTCTGCTCTGCTCTGCTCATACCCCCTGCCCACTATCTGTGCCATCTTGCCGGTGCCGGCAGCGACGATGGCTCTAATTTTGTATCTGTATCTATTATGCATTTATTGTGAAAATATTTATCTTTCCCAGCGTCAACGCGTAGCATTTCAAATGTCAAGGAAGGAGGGCTGGGTTGGGTTGCTTTGGTTTGGTTTGGTTTGGTGTTGGAAATCCGAGCGCCCCCTCTCGCTTGAGACGTTTGGGTGTGAAGTGGGAGTGTGTGTGTGTGTGTGCGTGTGTGTGCGTGTGTGTGTGTGTGTGTGCGCATCGAAAGCTTGTCATATTAATGAGATTTTGTGTTTTGATTTTTGATCGATCGACAGAGATAAAGAGAAGAGAAGAATAATGGACAACAAGCAATAAAACAGCAGAATCCAAATAGAGAAAGAGAAGAAGAAAATAGGTAACAATGTGATAAATGGTAGATACAATTACATACATATTAAGTGTATACACAGCTCTAGAAAGGTAGTTTAAAATCGGAGTCAGCTTTTCTTAATATTATACCCCTAATTCTGTTTTTAAACGGTAAATTGGTTCCAGAAACAACCGTGTAAAAAAAAGACATTGATCATATGCAAAAACAGGTGATTGGTTCCTTATCTCTAAAGAAATATATATGAAATTTGTGTTATATCAAAACCGTGTAAAAAACGACCGTGTAAAAACAGAATTAGGTTTATATTGATTTATCATCAATATTATTAATATTCTTATCAATCCATTTGGATGTCCATTTTATTTTGTTTCACAAAGCACAAACTAAGTTTAAGCAAATGCGCGGAGAGTATGTTAATAAATATATCCAAATCCGAAAGACCTAACCGTCCTTCAATAGCAAGCGCCTGCTGGCTGGAGCTAAACGTCACAGTCAAGCAAGCACGATGAAATACTGTACTCTACACTCTGTATTGCGATGTGCGAGACAAATCCAAGAAATAAAACAAACTCGTCTTGCCTAGTGACTAGTAGAGTCTATCTACCATGTGTGAGCAGTATGGGCTTAGCTATTACCGGAATCCAGGCGTTCATCCAAACAGACAGACAACGGACAGACGCACATGTCTAGATCAATTTGTAGAATATTTACTCTTCTCCCTGATCTATGGCGTTTCCACCTTTTTACCTCTCGAAAAATTTGTTTTGTATTTGTCCTTCCTTCCTCTCATATTTTTTAAACATACAAGTAGTGTAATGGCATTTTTATTCAAAAACGCTCTTCCTTTTGCCAAACTTTGCCATCTTTGTTGTAAAGAATCAAAGATTTTTATTAAAAGCAACAAAGTGAGTAACAAAGTTTTCCCAGTGGGGTGCTGAGCCAAATACTACTTGATTGTACAATCACTCATTAAGTCCGCCTTGAAATACCAACTCACTTCAATCAGTAATGTATCTTAAATATGCGACTACTTGCAGCTTCGAAACATCTTAATTTAAATTAAATATGT